TCCACGATACAAAGCTAGATTGGTTGTAAAGGGATTCAGTCAGAAAAAAGGCATTGATTTTGATGAGATCTTCTCTCTAGTTGTAAAGATGTCATCCATTCGTGTGGTCCTTAGTTTAGCAACTAGTCTTGACTTAAAGGTTGAGCATATGGATATGAAAACTGCTTTCCTTCATGGTGATTTGGAAGAAGAGATTTACATGGATCAACCAGAGGGTTTCAAGGTAAAAGAAAAAGAGGATTATGTGTGTAGATTGAAGAAAAGTCTTCATGGCTTAAAACAGGCACCGAGACAGTGGTATAAGAAGTTTGAGTCAATTATGGGGAAGCAAGACAACAAGAAAACTACTTTTGATTATTGTGTTTTAGTTCAGAAGTTCTCTGATGATGACTTTATTATCTTTTTTCTCTATGTAGATGACATGTTGATTGTTGGCAGGAATGCTTCGAGGATTAACAGGTTAATCAAGCAATTGAGCAAGTCTTTTGCCATGAAAGACTTGGGGCCAGCAAAACAGATTCTTAGCATAAGAAGTATATCAAAAAAATGCTTCAAAGATTCAAGATGGACAAAGCTAAAGTGGTTAGCTCTCCTCTTACTACTCACTTTAGACTGAGCACCAAGTAGAGCCCTTCTACTAATGAAGAGAAGAAAAATATGGAAAGAGTTCCATTTACCTCAGCAGTGGGAAGTTTGATGTATGTCATGGTTTTCACAAGGCCAGACATAGCTCACACAGTTGGTATAGTTAGCCGTTTTCTCTCAAATCTAGGAAGAGAGCATTGAAATGCAGTCAAGTGGATTATGAGGTATCTTCGAGGCACTTCCAATTTGAGACTTTGTTTTGGATTTGAAAAACCTTTGTTAGTTGGCTACACAGATGCAGATATGGCCGGGGATGTAGATTCTCGTAAGTCTACTTCAGGTTACTTGATCACTTTCTCAGGTGGAGCCGTAACTTGGCAATCGAGATTACAGAAATTTGTTGCACTTTCTACCACTGAAGCAGAGTTCATTGCAGCAACAGAATCTTGATGAAGAGGCTTGTGTAGGAGCATAGCTTCAAACAAAAGCGGTATGTGTTGTTTTGTGATAGTCAAAGTGCTATCCACCTTAGTAAGAATTCCACTTTTCATGTTAAATCAAAGCATATTGACGTGAGGTATCATTGGATAAGAGATGTTTTAAATTTCAAGTCGCTAGAAATTGAAAAAATCCATACTGATCATAATGGCTCTGATATGTTGACAAATGCTTTACTAAGGGAGAAGCTTGAGGTTTGTCGTTTGATCACTGGGATGGCAAATCCCTCCACATAGTCGGGAGGGAGAAATTTGTTGGGTTGGGTTTCCCTCCATGTGGAGGATGGCTCAAAGTTCAACCTTTTTTTGGTGAAGTCCATACGGCGTAAATCTCATATGGAGTATGGGCATTTCAGTCATTTTGCCCATTATATGTTAAATGAGGGTTTTCCTCATTTGTTTTCAACATGTGAGATTAGAAGAAAGAAGAGGGGAGAGGAGAAAATTCTGGGTTTTTGGAGACATTGTGCAGTCATCATCAATAACTCGATCGGATGGTCATTCATGGTCCGATCAACCTAAAATTTTGACAGCAGGTTTGCAACATATGGTTCTTCATTCTGAACAGTGTGATTGACGTTTGGAGTCCTCTAACTCAGTTTTGCAAAGCCGTCTTTGCTGCCTTTGTTTTGGTGAGATCTCTTCAATATTCTCTTTTTTAGAGTTCATCTTGTTTATGATATTTGCCAAGAATATAGTGTTCTTGATGATTGGTATTATTGTATACCTATAGTTTTAGCTAGAGAAGACTCTTGTGTATTCCCATTATTTGTTGATAGTGGAAGCTTTGGGTGGACTACAGTCCCGTGGTTTTTCCTCCTCACTTTGGGGAGGTTTTCCACGTAAAAATTGATGGTGTTTATGTGTGTGTTTGTGGTGCATTTAGTTGCTGATTTGGGAGCTTAATAATGTGTTTGATATATTGCTATCTACTTGATTACTTCTTCTTAGGTTCACTTAATAGGGGAAGAATTGTTTTGTTCTATTGTGCTTGTTGATTGGGTATCACCCAGTTTGTCTTTCTCCCCAATACAAAAAAAAAGGTCTTTAACTAGCAACTAAAATGCGGTAGCCCTTTCTTCTGTAACTAATAGCTCCCTCACCTCATAAATCACACAACAACCCCATCTTCTTCAACTAGCAGCTAAAACCTGAAAATCACACAGCAGCGCCATTTTCTTTAACTAGCAGCTATAACCCGACAGCCCCAGCCCCATCTTTTGCAACCACAGTTGTAGCTATTGTTTATTTCCAGATATCCAAGATTTATTTTTTGGGTTCTGCAACCACAGTTGTAGTTATTGTTTCAAAAAAATAAAGGGATTTGGGTTCTCTGCTAAGATCATTTTTTCGGCTTTATTTATTTTTTTTTGTTGCTATTGTTTGTTGATAAATTCGAAATACTTAAGTTCACTCACAGAGAATCGTCAAATCAGTGTGCTTGAATTGTTTTTTTTTTTTTTAAATTAATTTACATCTGCAATCTCCTCCAATGCCCCAACATAATTTCTCCTCTACATCTCATTTAGTCATAAGCCTTCTAGATTACTAGCCAAATGGAAGTTTTCTGGATAGAGATGATCGAAAGGCTTTAGTACAAGAAAAGAAAACATAAAAAATATGATGGCTTATCATAAGAAAAGTATGTTCCAAATTGTTAACATCTTGAAAGCATGTGATTCCAAGTCAAGACGCAAAGGCATACAAAAAGTGTGGCTAATTCTTATGCCTGATGCAATTATAAATTTTAAGCTACATATTAATAGGGATTGTACGCTCAACCATGTTTTGGATATAAAGCCAAACAAGAAAAAAAAATTGTTGGTAATGCATTTTTCATATTTCTTCTAGACATAGCCAAACAGTAACAATGTATTTCCCAGGCTGCATCTAATTACTACCCAAACAGTGACAATCCATTTGCAGGCAATGTATTACGCAGTATTGTATTACGCCAGTAATATATTTCACAGACAATATATTTCCAGGTATCCAAACGGCCCCAAATTGACAATGGATAAAGATATGGGATCCAGATTCTGTAGCATCCTTATATAACAAACAAATATTAGGGAGAATCTTCCTTTGTGTAACAAGATTATCTATAGTTAGGATTTTATCTTGTGCCGCCAGCCAAATAAAAATCTAAACTTTATGAGGACATGCCATTTCCATAGTTGAGTGATCTGAGGTAAAGATCATCTCCACCAGTCATGGAAGAGCAATCTATAGTAGGATTTAATCAAGAACACGCCATCTTTCTCCACTTTCCAAATTATCTCATTTTCCGCATTATGTGGTAAGAATATCCAATAATGAGCTCAGGTCACAAATTAAAGCATCCCTAACTCTGTTGTAAGGTAAGAGGACATTCCAGAAAGCTTTGATCTCCCACCCCTTTCAAAATCTCATCAACTCTAGCATTTTGATTGGACACCCTTTAAAAATGGCCGGAAACTGGTGTTTCAAGGGCCAATTCCCTACTCATCTGTGATGCCAAAAAGAGATTTGACTCCCATTGCCAATCACCCATCTAATGTTTCTATCAACAAAAGGTTTACATGGAGCTATGAGCTTCCAAAAAGTAGATGCCACACCCCCACGACCAACTCCTAACCATAAACCTTGTCTATCTATTCCATACTTCGCAACTAGAACTTGATACCACAAATGATCCTTATAGAGTAAGCTATGCCACCACCATTTTCTCAACAAAGCCTGATTAACCTGTTTTATTGTTATAATCCCAAGTCCACCTTCGCTTTTTGGGGTACATACCTTATCTCATCTAAGTAAATGATACTTTCTATCATCTCCATATGAACCCCATAGGAAGTCCCTCATCATTTTTTCAATCTTCTTAACAACAGCTAAAGTCATATGTAGGACAAACATCTGGTAAATGGGCAGGTTAGCCAAGCATGATTGAAGCGAAGTAGTCCTTCCCCCCCCAGAGACAGACACTTTAGTTTCCAAAGGTCGAGCTTAGTTTGAACTCGATTCAAAACAGTGTCCTGAGCTAAAACAGATAATCGTTTTTCCGATATTGGTAACCCTAGATAGGTGATTGGAAATTTATCCACCCTACAACTCAATACATCTGCAATTCTTTGAACCTCCTCATCTTCACAATTGATCCCAATCACAGAGGTTTTATGAAAGTTAACTTTCAAGCCCAAGGCAACCTCACAAACATTTTAAAAAAAAGTAGTAATGTTGCTAACCTGAAGATGATTTGCTTCACAAAAAATTAGACTATCATCTGCATATTGTAAATGAGATACACACTCCAACATTCCCAATTTTAAAACTATTAAAATGTCTCTTTCCCTCAATATTCTTATGCATTAAAATGAAACATCCAACATACAGAGTAAAAAGAAATGGAGAGCGAGGGTCACTTTGCCTAGGGCATCTAGAAGCTCGATAGAAGCCAATGGGCCTACCCTTGAAAAACACTATGAAATGAGCCGAGGAAAGACATCCAAAAATCCACCTCCTCTATTTATCTCCAAACCCTATTCCTTTCATAATCTTCATAATAATCCCCCATTTCACTCTGTCATATGCTTTTTCCATATCTAACTTTATGACTACCCCTAGCTCTAAGGTCAAAAGTCTTGAATGGATTCATTCTTGGGCTATTAAGGCATTATTCGTGATAAGTCTATCCTGAATGAAAGATGATTAAAGACCCAAGATAATAAAAAGCAGCACTACCTTTAACCTCTCTACCTGAATCTTTACCACAATTTTATACAGGCTTGTAAGTAATCTAATGGGTCTGATATCAGTAAGTTCCACAATAAATGATTTCTTAGGGATTAAAGCAATGTAAGTAGACTTCACCCCTTAGAAAAGCTCATCACGACTCATGAAATATTTTACCATCTCCAACGAACCCAACTTAGTTAGATCTCAAAATTTATGAAAAAAGATAAGTGGAAACCCATTTGGACCCGGAGCCTTATTACTTGGTAGCGCAAAGACTGCCCTTTTAAGCTCTTCCAGAGAGATATCTGATTCCAACTGGGCTACATGGGCATCCGATAAGTACTTAAAAAGGACATTATTCAGCTTAGGAGTAAACTCAACTTCAGTGGTACAAGCCCACTCAATGTAATTTACCACCGCACATTCCATCGCATTATGATCATCTAGATCAATACCAAGGATAGTAATGCCCGAGATATCATTTTGCCTCTTGTGAGCACTAGCAATAATGTGAAAGTATTTAGTATCGCGGTTCCCTTCTTTTAGCCATTTACTCCTAGAGCATTGTCTCCAATAAATCTCTTCCACTCTCTTGAGATCATTCAAGGACTTAAGCAAAGCATTCCTATCGACTACCCTCTCTATATATAAAACACTTTCTTGCTGAATATGAAGATCCAAAATCTCTAGTAGAGTCTCCTCAATCTTGGTATTTATAAGGTATCTACTCTCTTTTTTCCATACCAGCAATTTCTTCTTAACTTCAACTAGCTTCTTATGCATATGAAAGTCAATAGACCCGACCAATATAGTATTTTCCCATATATGATGAATGAGGCCTACAACTTCTTTTGCCTCCAACCACCCAATTTCAAGTCTAAAAGGTTTCGGTCCACTACGGACAACTTTTGAACTCAACAGAATTGGGGAATGATCAAGGATAATCTCGGTTATGCCCTCATAGAGGTCAGAGGGAAGACTTCCGACCAATCAGTGGATACTAAGAATCTATCCAGTTTAAACATTGAAAGGTGAGTACCATTATTTGACCACGTGAAAATAGTTCGAGATAGGTAGGTCTAATAAAGAATGTCTCGAAAAAAAACTATTAAATAACTATATTGAAGAGTTAAGCCTAAGCATAGAAGCAAACTCATACGGGCAACAAATAAGGTTGAAATCATCTCCCAAAAAAATAGAAAAAGGAAACTCATTCAAAAGAAGAGATAAATCATTAAGAAATTCTTATTTCAAAGTAGGTAAGTTCGGGTCATACACTTTCAAAAGCCCCCAAGAAAAACCCAACTGTGGTCCAATAAAGCCGACAAGCAAAAACCTATCTTTAATAATAGGGTTCCACAACAGCCATAAACCCCTTGAAGCACCAATCGAGCTCACCCCCAAACAACTAACTGCCCATAAGCCCCAAATTTCCCTAACTCTAGAGATAGTAGGGTTGGGCAATTTGATCTCTTGCAAAATCAAAATGTCAAGCCTATACTTAGCAACAATAAACAAAACATCACGCTTTTGTCTGAGGTCCCCCATACCTCTTATATTCCAAGAAGTTATAAGCATTAAAAGAAGGATTTAGAGGTAGAACTATGACCATCCACACAATATCTGAAGTATACCTCTTCCACCATTAGGGTTCCTTCAAGGTTGACGACTCCGAGACATCACTATCAGAGCATGAGACGTCACTACTAAGCTCCACCATAGTCTGATCTGAAGCCGCAATCACCTTCGGTTTGGGTACACTCGTGATGATACCCCTTGCTTCCATTCGAGCAGACGAACGAAAGCACAACACAACTTTCTTGTCCTTAATCTTTTTGTTTAATTTCTTAACTGGAGTATGAAGATCCTTATTATTTCCCTGAGCATCTGACTTCGCTGGCTGCTTGCCTTTATTATCACGAGCTTTCTTTCTAGCCCTAATCTCATTCACAATGATTCCCAAAAGCACGTCACTATCCATTCCCATATCTTCCATCAGAGCCCCCACCTTAGCTTCATCAGCAGTATCCATAGCATCAATTGACTCAGCTAGCAAAGGAGGTAGAGCCAACATATGCACCGGCTTTGACTGAAGGACCGAGGCCAGGGGCAATACATCACCCTCAACCAAAGCTAGTTCCGGGTCAAAAAAGGCATCTTCATTCTCACTAGTTGTAGGAGCATTTTCAATAGCAAGTTACTCATCAAGAGTAGGAACAAAAACCTCATTCTCTAGATCTAATACCTCATCCTCTGGATTAAGAACCACAATAGCGAGAGGGTCAATGACAAGGGGGTCAAAATGAGACCGAGAATGATTGCATTGCCCTTTCACAGCTGCAAGACGGAAAGGCGAAGGGTGCATCTCTAGGTTTGTAGAGAAAACCAACACCAAACTATCCAGGCAGAGCAACTGAAAGGGAAGAACACCAAGCCTCACAAAAGTAATCCACCAAATGAAAATGGCAGCAAAGGTGAGCTTAGAAAAAGACTTGGGCATGGGAAACTTGCAATCAGGTTAGGGAATAAAAAGGAAGGCCACTTAGGACATGGATCCCTTTCCAAGATTTTCCCATCATTGACAACTGATGCAACAGGCATACTTGACAAATCAAGGTCATCGCCTTTAGAGGAAGAAACTTTTCTATTTTGTGTACCCAGAGGTCTACTAGGATTAAAGTGCACCTTTAAAGAAACCAAGGAATCCATTTGATTAGTTACCCTGACCCCACAAGATCCTCTGGAGGGATACCCCTTATCCAAACAAGGAGTCATTGGTGTCCTCATCCCGGTCAACGATTTATGCGCCTCTAAGAAGGAAACTTCTTTCTCCTAAAAAATAGGCTTGGGACTAGGAAATCTAACAATAGGGACCCGCATCTGTTTCATTTTTGAATTCTAAAATTGAATGCTTTAGCGTTACTCCTCCAATTACGGTTTTGTTGTTTCTGTCTGTTCCTATCGGAATCCTCTACCCTTTCACGGCCCTGGAGATGAGATTTCCAAGAGGTTACCCGCTTCCATTCAGAAGACCTTTGATTTTCAACTTGATAAACATTCTTCCCTTTATCAATCATTCTTATATCTGTGTTCTAGTGAGCAATACCTCTACCCTTATCACTAGAACGAGCATTGGAATCTTCAACTACCACTGAGATCTCAAAGGGTATATGGTCCACTTACAAGCAAATTTTCTTGAGAATAGTAATACTCTAAATTCTCTATATTTTCACTCTAACGGAACGAAAATCCTTTCCAATAAGAGAGTCTCAGTCGACATCAAAGTAGTCCCCACATAAGCTTGCAATTTTCTGAATAATAGCTAAGCTTCTAGCATGTAAAGAAATACCCTTTAAAGTGATTCAGACTGCTTCTCTATGAAAGTGGAACCTGTGGGCAGTGGGGCTCCATCAATCTAAAGACAGAAGAAGACCCCTAACTCTGACAAATCTATGATGTAAAGCTCTGCACATATCATCCTCAGATCTAAGAATGAAGACCACTTTGTTATCTCCAATAATCTTCAATACTGGTACATAGTCTAGACCCCATCGTCACATGGCCCAATCATCAAGACCAAAAATATCACACGAAGGTGGGGAAAAGGATCCCACCACATAAAGTTTAGACTTAAAAATTAACCCATCAACCAAAGATCGGTCAACAACAAGGAGAGGGTAGAAATCTCCATCCTCACCATCTTCCTCCATTTCCAATAGGATGACCAAATTTTAATAACCCATGAACCAAAGATCAACAACAAGGAGAGGGTAGGAATCTCCATCCTCACCATCTTCCTCCAATTGCCAGTCTCTCACATTTGGGCAACAAAAACAAAAGCAAAAACAAAAAGCCATTAATTTCAATTGTTTTTAGATGGACCCCCTATCACAAATGTGAAACGCGATCCCCATTGCATGAAACAATTTTCCTATATATTATCGGATGGACAACTGTAATGGTTAGTCCTTGGGCTGACCAACTATGGTTTGAGTTTTAAAATATATGCGTAAAACTATCGAATTCTAATTGGAAAATTACTTTATTTATAAATTTGGCCAAATGTGTTTTTTTAATAAAGGAGAAAGTTTATAAAAGGTGGCAACTTTTTACTTATAGTAATTTACACCATCTATTTTATTTTAATAGTCTGGATATCAGATTTTCTTAAAAGATATATAAAATTTATACCATCCAGCTAAAACGAAAAGTATACAATACTGGACATTATAAGTAAGGTTGCAACCTTATGTAAATCTTACTCTTAAAAAATTGCCCACTCTAGTTCTATACTACATAGAATGTAGAATAAATTTCTCATGAGGCATTGTATATAGTCAAATTCGGGAAAATCTTGGCAAGAAATCAATTATTTATTTTTGTTTAAAACTTAAACATTTAATAATTGATATAGAATGTGGAATCCATCAGTGTATGAGAAATGGAACTGCAGAAATCGATATTCTCCTCTCACACTATTAGCAAAGCCAACTTGAAATCACTCAAAATCCACAAAGAAACAAAAAAAACAGAAAAGAACAAAAAAGAAGAAGAGAAAGACAATAAACTGAAAATTAAATAAAAAATTTATCTAGACAGGCCCGGGATGCCCCGAACATGGAGTTGGGGCTCATATAGGGTTGTGGGTTGATTTGCTCCATTCTCCCTCCTTTCTTTTTGTCTTGAAACATTTGTTCAATTATACCAATGAAATGCTTTTCCTAGGGGTTTAATTTCCTAGGGGTTTAGTAGGCTCTAGGTTTTCTCTAGGTTTTCTAACCTATGGGTTTAGGTTATGGGATTGCAACTATTCCAACTCAAGATCATGTATTTTTAAGAAAACCTATGGGTTTAAGGTTATGGGATTGCAACTATTCCAACTCAAGATCATATATTTTTTTATGGGTGGTTTGAAATCAAATAAGAAGATATGGATAAGATGTTAAATTGTTCATCTATCACAAGTAACTTGACAATTTTCCTTTTTCTTTTTTAATTTGTTGGTCTTCAAATTGTGACGTTCTAAGTAAGGTGAATATAATGTACTTCAGCAAGAGCAAATTATATGCTTGCTTCGTCAAGCAAGTCACCCATGAGGGAGATTTTAGATCATTGAAAACATTTAAGGCCAAATAAATATAAAAAAATATGAGTTTGAGTTTCTATCTAATTGAATCTTCCTGTCCATAAAATGGACTCTCTTGGAGGATAAGATCTCGAATTGGGTGGTTTTAAGTTCTAATTTAAACTTCTCTTTGTTTTCTATTCTTTCATTGTTTTGGCTAGGATGAGTAAAATATATTTAGGGCTAGTTATGGGCCAAACCAACCTTGGCCTGGTCCGGTTCCTTAGAGGACCGACACATACTGGGCTAAAGGGCCCCTGGCCCCTAGCAAGTGGTTAGGTGGCTCAGCCCTGGCCCAGTTAGAGTCAGGCAAGGCCTATATATAATTCTAAAAATTAGCAAAAATTATTAAAACCTGGCCTGGTGAGCTATGGTCTGCTTCTCTGGTCAACTTTTGTGACCCTTTCCTGGTTTTTCTGCGCTGGGCCAAGCTGTTAGGCCCATTGCTACCCCTAATTATATCATAAATTTTGTTGAGAAAGATATCCTTTAGGTAAATTTTCTCATGAGGGAGCAAGTTGGTGGATCATTAAACAAGAAGAAAATTCCAGTTAACTTCAGTAAATTAGCTTGAACATATATGCACATACACAACAGATTGCTCACAATATCTGACAATCTACGGGGTTAGGCAATAGGCTAGCTAGCCTAGCATGAT